GGATGTATGCAGTGGACTGCATACTTTTATTGAGACACCTGAGATGGCTCGGTCATGTGAGCCGTATGGATTCGACGCGGATACCGAAACAACTTTTATACGGTCAGCTGAGTGTTGGGAAGCGGCACGTGGGGAAACCAAAGTTACGTTACCAGGACATGATCAAAGTGAGCCTCACACGTTCTAACCTTGATTGCAGATCATGGAAATCGAAGGCGGTTGATCGGCGTGCATGGCGCGATCTAATCACGAAGGCAGTTGCCGAGGTGCAGGAGAAAGCCCTCGTGCATGCAGAGAAGAAGCGGCAAGTGCGGAAGCGGCAAGCACCGATGGATTGTACTCCATCGACATCAAGCGTATGGTGCTGTAGAACATGCGGTCGCGAGTGCCTTAGTCAGGCAGGCCTAGTGAGCCATGAGAGAGGCCACTCGGGACCACTACCGAAGCGACGACGGGGCCCGCAGTGAACGTAGGCAGAACCGGCGCAGCGTTTGTAGGCACGCTGCATTCGATTTACTAACCGCGTGCTTGCATGCTAAGTCTCTTTATTTCAGGTGGTGGGTTTTCAATTTTGCCTTAATGCTTTTCTTTCTCATATAAATGTCCACCTGTACTCTATTCCATTAACTTACACACCTCGCTTAAGCCAATTGTATTCGATTTCCATAACATTTTTGTGTTCGTGGCATTTCCGTATAGTATACTTTCTCACCTCGTGAACTTATCTAGGATTCGTTTGTATACAACTTATTTCATATGCTCATTAACTTAAGGTTTATGTCACCGTTTCCGTATGCATCAATCGAGTTATTTTCTTTCCCTCTCTCTCTCTCAAGTGTTTGGCTGTTGCTTGATATCCCCGGTGTGGATGCGCTTGATGTGCATGTTGACAAGGTGTCTACCTGTCTATTACCCACTACCTCGTCCACACTGGCTCCAGGAGACAATTGGTCGTTGCTGGAGGGGACAGGGTGCACGGTCCTTGTGGCCGTGTTAGGATCAAAGAGTGGTTCCATGCACTCAGTGTGGAGCGGACTACAGTCCAGCCACCGCCATGTGTGCGCTTGATTCCCCAAATACAGCGTGCTTGTGTTTGCCTGTGAAGGAGTGTGGGCCGGCTCCGTTGATGAAACGTGGCTCCCATCCCCATGCCTCCCGGTCTTATTCCTTCGGGTTTACACTGGATATGCGGTGTGTGGTTGGAGCTGTGGGTGGTGCAGCGCAAGCCATACATGGTCCCTCTGTAGGCGCAGGCGTCCTGTGGCTTGCCACAGTGACAGGCAAATCCGAAACCGGATGCCGCCAACCATATATATATATATATATGTATATATATATATATACGCGAGTTAATGTAAGTGACAGTCGTAAACGTTCGTAGATAAACTCATAAATATCGAAATAAAAACTATTGAATTAATTCACTCACCTGCTATGGTTTCTAGTCAAAAAGAATTGTAGATGTGTTCAAAACAACGCCTAATGTGCACTGGCGTCCAATCTGCTGTTCCTGCTTACTCTGGTTGTAACGTCAAACGCAGTGTTTCTGTACACTTTTAAACGCCTGCTGTTTTCCCCATGCAAGGCATCTTATGTCTCATTTGCGTGCGATTCATTATCAAACAAGAACATATCACAATGGCTTCTCATATGCTTTATTTCTGCATTCACTGAGTGACAGCTTTCTACCACCACTATGCATGAATACGTCGTGAACAGTTATCGCCCGTTTCGACTCTTCGGACTTGTAAACATTCGCTCGCTACTTTACCTGGTCAGCCGACCTATGATCCAATGCTAGTGTTCAATCGACTCTGTAATGCTATCCGGCGAACGACGACCTGACCCAAAAGAACAACAATAGACGTGGGAGCCGATAGAGAGGTAATTTAGTCGCAGTAACTAATGACTGGTCATTGATGGCTAATAAATAGCGAATAAGTAGTTAGTTATATGTTTTAAAACATATGATTTCGTTAGTAAGCTTGTTTTGCGACTGATTGACGACCCAATCCTCGTACTAATAGTTACCACCCGTAAAAGGCCATTTTACCCCTTTGGGGGTAATTAGCCCCAGGTTAAAAACTCATGCTTTACACTAACCGGCGATGGTTCAGTTTGAACCACCCGAGTAGGAAGGGGTCAAAGAAAATGGGGCCAACCGAACAGCTCCTGAAAGTGCTCCGCCCAATGAGCCATACAGCGCTCCTTATTGTGAATGAGGGCACCCGCGTTTTCTCTGACTGTCTCACTGGTACCTGGGGCCAGTGGTACGGATCGGTTGAAAGAGCTTGCGATAATTGTCTACCGCTACCGCCTACTCCATTTCTTGGACCCTATTCGTCCAGAAAGCTCCATTGTCAACCCATAGGCGCTGCTTTAGTTGGCGCCTAATAGTCCACCTAGTTACATTGTGCACAGCGCCAGTCTGGAGTTTTCTCCTAGATTCCAACAGTTTCATCGACCTCTCGGATATACAGTGGCTGCTGCCGTGACGATTGATAGCGCCGCAAACACAGGCGCCGTGTCGTACATGGCGGCAGAGATCCTATTCCACTTAAGCTTAGTGTCATTAGGGCGATAGATCTAAAGTTCGGTACGCAGGGCATCCCGATAGGATTGCCTGACCGAGGGCTGGGATAACTTCTCCGTTGTCAATAGAAGGCAGTTCCTGGTGGTTTGTGGAAAAACGACAGCGTACCAAGCTACGATCAGAGTCGATGCAAGTAGTCCAAAACGAGGAAGAATCCACCTGCAACCTAATCTATTTGGGTCCATCGTTGGTCAGCTATAGGTGGACGCGAAGCAGTACTTCGGCGCGCAGTGTGTCTAAAAGAGTTACTGCCTTAGCAGCCAGTGCTCCGCACATAGTTGCAACAGATGCTCGCCATTGTCCGTCCGTTCGGAGGTAAGTCAATACCTACCACTTAGCTGAGCTCCTGAAGAATTTAGATCTAACTACGCATTCATATCCCATGCAGCAGCAACAATAACAACAACATTATCTGAACCGACAACACTGTGAAGTAGCGTGCTCAGTTCGTGGCAGGCGTCTTTGGCAGCATCAAAACGATAATCGATGGAAACCACAAACAAATAACGTCTAGTACTACTATGTGAATCAAGTTCATATCGTCAAACGAACTGCACACAATCGGTTGTTCCCGGGAAATCAATGATGACTCAGCCTTAGAGCCGAGAACGATGACCACCATAGCTAGACCAGTGGTTGCCGCATCAGCGTCTCCGTAGACGTCTAACAAATAGCGAGAGGACAAGCCAAGTGCATTTAGTTCAAATACCCCGTGAGGGTCATTGAGCTTGGTTTCGTGCACGTAATATACGCCAATACCCAGTGCGTCCAACATGCATGAGAGTACAGCCTGTTGAGCTATTTGTCGCAGAGTAGGAACGTCGAACGCCGCCAGGGAAACGAGACGGTGCACCCGTATATAGGGGATTTCACCAATAGGCATCTAGTGGATGGTGTGAAGAGCTGGTTGCAGATGATAGAACTGCAGTGGCATTGCGGCTGCTGTCAATTAAACTGGGAAGTGTAGAAGGGAGGTTAGTAATGGGGATGGAAAGCAAGAGGAAAAGAAGTGAGACGCCAGCAATAGCATATGTTCGCTTATCTGCCATGGTGAATGAAAACGATAAGGCGGTTCTTGCCAAATTGTGCGATGGCCGATACAGGATGTCGTTAAAGTTTGAGGAAATTGTCATGGTTTTGCATGGGCGCCTAAACCTAGACAGATCGGTTAGGTTCCTCAACCAAAGCATCTGGTTCAAAAGCCTGTCCCCAAGGCAGCGGGGAGGTGACGACAATTTGTTTTTACAGAACTGGATGATCAGGAGACAATGTTTGTCTGACCTCTAACCATTGACCAACCTGGGAAAAGAGACTCTCAGGAGACCCGGGACACCACCCGATATAGCTCAATGGGTGAGAGAGGTACGCAAACCGTCGCACCACTTAAATGTCAAGTCTCGTTGTGACGAAGCGTTTGCTAGTAAGCTATTCGAACTAATTTTCCAAGACAAAAATGTGGAGAATCTCCAGAGAAGTCAGATTAAACGACAATAAAAGTGAAGGTGATCTGACGAGTGTCATTGCTGTGGATAAACGCTGGGAAACTAGAGATAACAGTGCTCGAAATCGATATCGGAAATAGTGCGATTGTGGAGTCAGCGAGACATCTGAGCGCCCAAGCTTTTCATCCGCGATTACTGGTCACCCAACATTAAAGCTGAGCAAGATTTTCCCCGTTTCTTAGTTCCAGTTGCTGAAGTTACCTAGATGAGGCACGATAGCTCGAGCGATGGGTGGATTCTAGTCCATAAACCGAGTCGAATGAGTAGCTTCGTTGTGCCACAAGAAGAGAAGCCAAGCGAGTCCCTCGTGGAATAAGCCACATTTACAGTGGTGCAATCGATGAACTAAATCATAATGAGCGAATCGAATTCGAAGTAGCGTATCCGGTTAGTATGGGTGTATTAAGGTGAAAGTAATGCAGGTGAGCCATAAGGAAACTTTGCTGACGATCGATTGATCATGATCCAGTCATCGCAAGGGCGTCCAAGGCAATGATACATCCGTCAGAAACGAAACGGAAGCGTACTGCTGAGCAGAGGTTTTGGGTTAATTGGGGGAAATGCAGTCTGTCGAGGACTAGAGTGCAGAAAGGACCCACAGGTTGCATTGCGAGTTACATTGACTAGAGCAGCGAATAGGTGAACGGTCAACCGTGAAACACTGTGTTCTTGACTACAGGGTTGAGGGAAACACTATTAGGTCGATTATTAATGGAGCTTTAAAAGGGTTGGCTAAAAGGTCAGATCGGAAAGACTATCAGAAGGTGAAGGGCGAGGGAAGTTAGGTCATGGTTAATAAGGAGAAGCTATGCAGTATGTGATGACTCCCGAGTGATATGCACCCGACAACCGTGGTTCAGCAAAGTCTCGGGGTGGAACAATCAGTGTTGGGTATGACGAAAAAACCCACCTTGTTTCACGGCTAAGAAGCGAAATAAAACGAACAAGGTTCGTTGAAAAGAAAGCAAACGAGGTGACTGATGTAGTACACTGTATAATATTATATGTCAGTACAAAAATGCAAAAGTTTGGTAGACGAAAAATGATGGACATCTAAGTATGGGGGACACAGAAAACTACGATGATACCGGTAACATTTGAGCCACACGCCTGAAGCGGATAAGACTGTACATTGAGATAATTCAAAAGATGACAAATAAGCCGTGGTGGTGTGATCGTGGTTTTGAAAACAATGAAGGATAAGAATGCAAATAAGACTGCGGCAAGGGAACAAAAAAGGATGGGGAGAAGGAAATGAATGTTCTGCTAGAAGTGGTAGTTTCCTAAGGTAAGATCAGAAAACGTAATCGGCACAAGGGTAAGATGCCTTGATAAAATGAAAAAGGAATGCTAACAAGGTTAGTATACAAGCACGATGGCCAGCCACATGGAGAACATCAATAGATTCTTGGGACAAGTTTACATGGAACAAACTTCTTGTAGACATTCATACTGATTCCGTACTTCTCGGAGGTTAAGCGTTCTATACGTCGGATGCGATTCAGTAGAATACAAGTGAGGAACAGAGGATAGAACCAAGGGATCGGAGATGAGAAACCTGAAAGTGCCGAGGGATGGGAGGGGGCGGATTGTAGACGGATTAGAAGTAAATCCATTCGTAGCTAAGTTGTTCCCCGAACAACATAGAATAATGATCCAAGATACTTAAGACAATGAGCGCACAAAGATGTGGAAGCGGTTTCCGTCAGCAATGCTTCCGGAAGCCGGCCAACTGGATGTTAAACAGGAAGGTGAATTGTGAGCGGCACACTTCCCAGGTAAGCGGGACCACGCAAAATGTAAGGCCGTATGGTGTCAAATGGTGGTGTTGTCAGTCACAGCTGGCAATTTTGCTCGTCATAAGATAGTTTTGATTAAAAGTGTAACTTCTTAATTATTTTTCAAATATTAAAAAGACCCATGATTATAAGATTTTCTTCAAGTCTATTAGAAAACTTTAAGCTATATGTACCAAAACCTCTATTAATCCACGCACGTTTGGGAAACATTTCACAAGGTCAAAAGGTCATCATTTTATGCTCTAAGTGCCAAGAAGTTTAATGTTATTATTTTTAACTGGTTGTATTGTTCCCTAGTAACCTCCCCTGGACTACTGCAAAAGGAGTTTGTTTAACTGTGTGATCGATTAAACAAATTGCCAGATGTAAAGGCTTGCCTGGAGATGCTCTAGTTGATTTTATTACTCGCAAGCATTATGACGCTTGCATGATTTTTTCTTCTATTTCAAGTGACCGCTTTCATTCGTAACTCACCTGTTCCACAGGTCTATGTCCGAAGGTTCACTACTGATTGATTGGAAATGCTCGGTGGTAAGGCCGATTCCGAAAGGCGGTGACCCCAGCAAATAGAAAATTAGAGACCAAATTGTTTGACATGTACTTTGGCCAAAGTTGCAGAGAAGATTGTGAAGAAACGTTTGCTACAGCTGTTCCGTTCAAAAGATCTCCTGACGCATGCACAATAGTTTCATGCCAGGTTGTTCATGTAACATCGACGTACTCGTGAAGAGGCATGAATAGGAAGTCTGTCGACTTAATTTACAACGATTTCACCAAAGCGTTCGACAAAGTAAGCCATAAGGCCCTCCTTCGCAAGCTGAGTATGCGGTGTTGGACAAAAGCGGCGGAGCAAGTCGATAGCCAGCTGACCGACTGGTTTCCTCCGACCAGCAGCGTACCCCAGGACACGGCGTTGGGACTACATTGTTCTATCAATAAGCTACTTCAGTTACCGTGGGCGCTGTTTGCAGACGAGCTGAAGAGTGATAAGCACACCTGACAACTGCGGCTTACTTTAAAAAGACCTAAACCGCCTTTGCATGTGGTCTGAAGAAGTCCGCATCCCAGTCAACTTATCCAAGCCAGTATCCATGAGCCTTAGGAAGGGTGGTGACGGCGAAATGCTACATGCGACACCTACGGTGAAAGACGTAGGAGTACACTCGCGTCGCGACTTGAAGTCTGTGGACAACATGAACAAGCTACATCGAGTCGGACTGGGGATTTTTTTGGTCTAACCCTCCCGAAAATGGGCAGCGCCCTTATAGAGGGCTGAGCCCTTTTAGCCTGCATGTCATCCTTTAAGTTGAGTGAGAAAGATAAATTGTCTTCACCATTCCATTTCTTTTTGAAAATAATGGTTAAATTTTTGGTGATTCAGTCCACAAGGAAAATACTTGTAACTTTCTGCATAAATTAATACTAGACGACGAATAAAGAAGGACCATGCCTTACCCAAAACGGGAAAATGAAACCTTCAAAAGGAAGAGGTCACTGAAAGTAAGTCTCGTGTTTACCCTTCCGCATCTGGAAAAGGGGAGTTGGCCTGGTGTTGGGTTACCCCCAGGGGGTGGGACGCTTCAGCTCCTACGCACGGAACAAATTAATTGATTAGACTCATGTTGACTGCCCCCTCAGATTATTTCTGTTGCTCAAGAGGACAACTTGGCCGGGAAATGGTGTAGTAAGCGCAAAAGGATGGAACAATCGACTGTATAGGAAATAGACGCGACCACATCGTAGAGAGAGATCCAGAAGCATAAGGGCATAGAGGTGGAAGGCGAAGTCACACAGTCCACGGATTAAGGGGTAACCCATTCCCTCCTTATTACTATGGTAACTTGGCGTTCGGGAGGGAAGAGTGAAAGCCCTCTTAGTTGACGACGCATAGATGTGATGACTGATGTAGTTCTCCAACTCATGATGCAATCAGCAACTATGGTCACCGTAATGAAAATAGTAACAAATAATTAAAATAAACAATAGGCAAGAAAGGCGGGGGAGAATAAACGAACATTCTGGACATTTTGGATAAAAAGGAATCCCTGACGCCTAACGTGGGTGTAAAGTGGTTTCCAGTGAAATGGAAAGCGAGAGATCAAGGACAAACATCGAGATATCTAGTCAACAGGTAAAAAACAGTGAGAACGGACCTGCGAGCAGTGGCTGCGCATAAGCCATCAGGAGGTCACCCAGGTAATTCGGATGCCGAACAACGCCCCACCAGCCACCGGCGAGAAGGCGCTGTGTGTGCGGCCCAGAAATTGTGCGCACCCCTAGAAAGAAGAGACATCAAAGTGCAAACGGTAGGAAATTTAGATTATAATGCAAATGACCAGAAAATCCCACGATTATTGCGCGATGGAAGAATAATTGAAACTAAGACAGTGGGAGATCATGAAAATTCATAAACTAGCGTACTTCAAAACCCCGAAAAATTTAATTATTTCTGGAACTTGGTCGGTGGAGGCGTCTGTTTACAAGCTTGGTGACACGGCACTGCGGCTGCAATCAGTCGCATACGGACTATAGTTGGCCGCAACAACCACGGACTCTGCATCCTATGTAAACCGAAGCGGAGACTTGCAGAGGGAAGTTTCGTGCGACTCGGAGCCGGTCCACATTCCTCCAATGTGCACAGCATCGCTGTGGAGCAGAGGGGAATATGTGCAACTAAGTGCATCCGAGTTAGCGGCTTGTTCCACGTTGGAGGCCCAATGCAAGCATAGCACGTGCACCTTAGCCCCTACAACAAATAGAACAACTTCTAGGGTGCAAAAATGCACTCTACAAGGATAACCAGCACAAGCGAGCGCAGTGCAGTGATCCGTTGCCTCGCACAAACCAACCAAAGGAGTGGGGGGCTGGGGAGATGTGTACAGATCCATCGTATGAAGTGAACAGTGATTCTGGTGTAACCTAAGATGCACAATTGTTGCCAAGGAAGTATAGTGCAAGCGGTGCGAACATTTACAATAAGCCCAAAACCCAGTGACCAAAATTTAGACAAAAGACTAACCGGCAAACGACGGATGTCCGGGATGGCGACGGAACAAATCTTTTTGACTATTCGATGAACGATAGATCCAGTACCCGACGAAGAAGAGGACAATCGAGAACGCTAGCGTGATGGTTTGATGTATGTTGAGTGAACCATCAGCCGCAGTCAGACGACCCACATCCGGTCTTGAAGACAAATAGGAGGCCGCGATAGAGTAGAGGAAGGGTAACAGGAGAGCTTCAGAGATCTTCAAATAGCCCATACTTTCATAACGGACCTCAAAAGTGTGACACCAGGTGTCCTGTGGGCGGGGCGGAATGGGAAGTTCACATGGAGCATTGTAAGATTCGAATGGAACTGATAAAACTTGAGGGTGGCAAAACTGACCCATAAGACAAGTAAAGCGAAATGGATGGACGAGCGGAAATCCCGTTGGTGGTTTATGATGCGAAGCGCCGATTACAAAAGAGAAAAAATGTAATTCCTCAATAGTAGGATTTGCACTGGCTATGGTGATGGACAGTGTTAACAGCAAGCTGCCACATTGGACTGGTGGGTTTCTGAAACACCATGGAAGCAAATGTGAGGGAATAGTAGTAGTAATTGAATCAACCGTCTAATAAGTAGACACAGAGCCAGGAAAGAATTATGAAATTCAGCTGATGACCAGTGGAGGTGCCGCAGTATCATCAGTATAGCAACACACTTCAGCTATCAAGTCGCAACAAAGAAAAACGGAACCTTTTTGCTATCTTTCACACGCCATATGATTTAATTGTTAGGCGTTAAGTATCTGAATCTAAGCAAGTGTGTACACAGATTTTCCACTGGTTTCGGCTACGAGTCATATCTTGAATTGTCCCTAACCATCGACGGAGCTGTACGCTATCGGTCGCGTTCCCAGGTTGCGGATCGAGGAATGCCTTCCTTGTGGAGGTAACTGCGAATAAGTCACGTTTGCCTTGCAGGCGAGATGAATAAGTAGTCGCGGACAAACAGCGGCAGCGTCTCAGAGCGTGGGGAGTTCTGGGCTGGTCACCTGATTCTCCATCAAATACCACAAGAGCTCGTACGGTGCTGTGTCAAAGCCAATGTGACCGGCTATAGGATCACTGACCACTCACTTCTGTAACCAGAAGTGAGTACCTAACGGAGGGCGGATGAACAACCTTGTTGGCCACCGGCTTCTCTGTGGACTGCTACTGAACACAAAGAAGGCGAATGAGCTACCCGGATGTCAACGGTCTCCGTTAATCGTCCCGCTGCCTTGCGGGTCAGGTCTTTATGACCAAAGGCTCAGGATGGGGTCCCTTAAGTCAACCCTCTTCCTCGGCCTGGGCAACCTGGAAGATCTCTGCCCACACAACACATTAACCTTGTAAACCTTCCAAACCTTTCTACTGTCCACCTGTTTTCCCCTTTTTGTTGCTGTTGATAACTGTGTTGTGGCACTGCTAATCGTATATTGGTCAGGTGTTGAATAATAAATAATAGTAATAATAATAAAACCATCGGCACTCTTCGTTCTTAGGTCCCCAACCAGGTAGGCATGTGGATCCAACGGCCGCAAGACGTGAGATCAATGGGGGAATTCAAGTGCTTGAGTTAAGAGTCGAAGGTACTTGCATGAACAACAGTCTGGGACGCTCCATTGCAGCTCCCACAGCCTTATTTCGCAAAATAGCCAGTAGCCGGCTCAGAGTACAAAAATATAAATTGATCATGCGAATGCCGCAGCAGCATCAATGGCGATAACCACAGCAGTACGTAGGCACACTGCGTACCGACGCTTCGCTGCAACGCCATCGCCACCGTTAGCGTGTGAGTTGAGTATGTCGCGAGGTCGTCCGCACCCACCCGGATGACCTCCGGATTGCAAATCAAGCGTGTACTCCTTTCGGTCACCAGTCGACGCGACAGCCACAAGACAGCACACAAATGGGAGTTATCAAGGTAGATGAAACTGTTGGTTTTTGTTTCCCAATGTTGAATCTGTGCCTTGTGTTTTAGAAAGTAGAGCCAGGGGGCTCGAAGAGAGGAGGAGGCAAACAACACAATTCGGCTCACCGTAAGAGATGCTGCTAATCACAACTTGGCTACAGCAAGCCATCTTCTAAGTGTCATCGTACGCAAACGGGTCACTACCACAGTGCCACATGATAACCGGTCGGGAAGATGCAACGCCCTAAGATGAGATGAGATGATATTCGAAACTGGAGTAGCACAACACATGGGACAGCCGACGCACGATACACCGCACTCAAATCCATCGTGTCCGGACTTGATATTGACTAGCTGCGAACAGCGTGTGTAGTATTTCTGTACTAGAGCCTGTTGCACCGATCATTCGGTGATCGTGGCCAGCCTTGAGCTACCATTGCCATACTCGCATCCATTGGGACCATCTTACAACTACTGGAAGGCTAACTTTGATGGTCTCAGTCGAACCGCTAGTCAAGTGGACTGGTCGTTGCCGCAGGATTCATCTGTTGAAGCCTGTCGGCTATGAAAGAGGGTGTGAAATTGCTGTGCGCTAGATTTTTACCTCTCAAGTATCGCAAGGCTGGACCAGTGAAACCACATTGGTTCGACGGCGACGCGTGTTGTGGAATAAATTCCTCCAGTCTGGCTCTGCCGAGCATTACAAAAGGCAGTGAAATTTATGCAACAGCGCGAAAGTGCAGAAGTGTCGACAGTTTGAAGAGGAGCTTTCAACCGCAGCGAAAACAGCACCCAAGCGAATTTTCGCTTACGTGAAGCGGCGCCTAGAACCGGTAGGCGACATAGCAGTGTTAGAAAGCTCTGACCGACAGCTTCTGATTTCCAGCGCTGAACGTGCGTCCGCGTTAGCGACGCACTACACTGCTGTATTTGCAAGTGGGCATGCGTATATACGAGACTCATCGTGTGCAGTCCCTACGGAACTCGAGAACCTGGATTGCTGTGGGAGATGTGCGCAAGCTACTTGCCAGCCTTGACAGCACGAAGCCCACCGGTCCAGATGACTTCCGCACGCTGATTCTTAAGTCACTATCGACCATCGTTGCGCCACCGTGACTGATCTGCTCAACAGATCACTGTTCGTAGCTGAGTTGCCGAGTTTTATGTGTACAGAAACGATGCATACGGCCGATACTACTACCTTGGCCAACGGACACTGCTACTTAGCTATCTGGTTGTTATCTTACCTACTTAATTACCTCGGACTACTGAGCTTTGCGTATGCATGGTTATTTAGTTTACTTGGTTTACCATCTCTATTCCTGTCTCAAGTTATCGAGTTTGAACGTTCAAACAGTCCAGAAGTGAATCCTAGTCCGAGTTGACGCTTTCCCCACAATCAGTGCTATGTAAACGTTTGGATCCGATGAGAGTTGACCGAAAAGGATTCTCCACCCTGAACTGATTTCTGATATTGATTCATATTAATGAAATGGGAAACCTGGTGATCCCAGCGTGCTTCGCTCCTGCTCCACAAGCTGAGGATTTGTGGTGTTAGTGGCACACTGCACCAGTGTATCAGTGACTTCCTTATTGGGAGATGGAGGGTTCAGGTGGATGACCACCTAACGGAATGGTACTCGTCCACTAGCGACATACCCAAAGGCACAGTAATGGGGTCCGTTTTATTCCTGATGCACATCAACGAAGTACCTCAGCTTCTTCGGTCGCACTGCGTAGTATTTACGGATGACCTGAAGAGTTGGAGGATTATTAATCCTTTTAGCGACTTTGACGTCCTTCAGCAGGACTTCGACCGCCCATCCCGATGGTCTGCAGAAGTTGACCTACCGGTCATGTATGTATGTATTCTCAACAGTCTATTAGCCAGACAAAGAGCCAGCCTAAAACCATGGAGATAAGGAGATAAGCAAGATTCATGGCGTCATAATCATCGTAGCATGCTAGTTAAAGGTGAGTAACACACTTCAAGTAATATGCCGCAGGAGGAATGGAACATTTTGATAAAAAGCAGAACAAAACATTTTTAGTTTGTTTTTCACACGCCGCTTTTGTTCTTTTTTTGTCATTTTAATGTTTGTAGAATTAAACATGTGAATCAATACAGTAATGTACACAATTCTTTCACTGATTCCGGTTGCGGGCCATATCTTCAAGAGTGCTAAGCCATTGGCACTCCTCATCTTTGGGTCCCCATCCTGGAAGACGTACGGATCCTACAGCGGCTAGACACGACGTCAGCGATTTCATGTGCTGCCACCAAGTGGAAGGCTGACCACCACGCGGTCGCCTCCAGCCAGGTCCTTGACGAGCGAATAGAGCGCGTCGGGGCAGCCGTTCGCATGGCATGCCTAAAATGTGGCCCAGCCATCTCAACTGACGCAACAAAACCAGTTTGTTGAAGGGAATACTCGCATTTCCCAAGATGCGACGTCGAACGTCATTACTATTAACTCGATGTTGCCACCAAACACGAGCGATCCTCTTTAAGCAACCGTTATCGAACGCAGAAAGACAACGCATGTCTTCCACGCGAATCGGCCAGGACTCGCACCCATACAACAATATTGAGCGAACTGATGCACTGTAAACGCGGCCCTTTAGTGAGAATGAGACGTCGCGACGACGCCACAAGTGCTTCAAATTGACAAATGCCGATCGAGCTTTAGCGATACGAAGAGAAACTTCTTTGTTGATAGTGCCATCAGCAGAAATACAGCTCCCAAGGTAGACGAAACTATCTACCTGTTCAAGTTGTGCACCTTCGAGAGTGAGTACGGGAGCAGGCGAATGCCAATCTTTGAGCAGTATTTTACACTTCGATGGGGCGAAGCTCATGCCATACTTAGATGCTTCAACCGCCAAACGATCCAGAATGAGTTGCATACTCTGAGGATCGTCACCAAGTAAGGCGATATCATCAGCATAATCTGAGTCGGTCGCGCGCTCACCCGGTAGAAGCTCTAGGCCAAAATGTTGGAAACCTTCTAGAGCATTCGACAGAACGTCTTCGATTGCGAAGTTGAAGAGGAATGGGGACATAGGGCAGCCCTGTCGCACACCGCTATTGACAGTGAATTGCGAGGAAAGCTTGCCATAGACCCTCACTCTGCCGCATGTATGAAGGTAAAGTGCTCGTAAGATGGCGGTATATTTCTCTGGCACCCCGTTCTTTAGTAAGCAACGCCATAAAGCAGGTCGATCAACGGAGTCAAAAGCGGCACGTATGTCAAGAAATGCAATGATAGTGGGCCTGTGATAAATGTGGCGATGTTCGAGGAGCTGGCGGAGCGTAAACAAGTGGTCTATACACCCTCAACCGGGGTGGAAAACAGCCGGTTCTTCATGAAAGCGCAATTCTCGGATCGGGGTTAGCCTGCGGAGTAGAATGGATGTTAACAGTTTGGAAGCAACGGACATTAGACTGATTCCTAGGTGGCTAGCGTATAGGGTACGGGCACCTTACTTGAAGATCGGGACGAAAAGTGACTAGCCCCAAGCGGATGGAACTGTTTCTTCCGATCAGATCTTAGAGAACAGAACTGTTAACTGGTTGACAATTGCTTCGCCATTGAACTTGAACAGCTCCGAAGGAAGTCCGTCTGGGCCAGCAGATCTGAATCGCTCCAAGTGTCGGAGCTCAAGGCAGACCTCAGCTTCAGTCGGTGGTTTCAATGAGAGGTTGCAACGCGCGCAACTAGATATACTCATCAAGCTCACCGGCGGAGAGCAGCTGAATTATATGCGGAAGTGTTCAGTTCACCGGTCTATCCGCCTGTTTAAGTTGGTGATCGGCATTCCGTCAACCTCGCAAATGACCTCACTGACACCAGGCCCTTTGTGACCAGTGGTCCGAATGACTTAGAGGAACTTGTGAAAGTTTCCGGATAGGGCTGCCGTTTCTATCTCTGAGGCGCGCTGGGACCACTAAGTTTCGCGACCAGCTCGCAAGCTATGTTTAAGTTATAGGCTGAGGATGCGACGCATTGCACTACTATTTGAATCGGACGGGATAGCTCTGCAACGATTAAACAATTCCAGTGAGTGTGCGGAAATCCAACCGCTCAGAGGGCGCTTTGTGATTTCGCAGATTGAATGACTGTAAGATAGCATCGCTTCACACAGGAAACTCCAATGATTTTCGACTTCTCGAGGTGAAGTACTAATGAATGCATGCGACAAGGAAGCTTGATAAGCCGATCGAATAGATGGGTCAGTCAACCTGTTGGTGTCGAGCGTATGGTGTTTTCGTTATGAGAAACCGCCGAAGCGCATGCGGATGTCCGCGCAGACCAAAGCATGATCTGAATCGAGGTACGTAGACCAAATCGATCTACAGTCCCAGACGCTGCCTCGCCATCTAAAACTGATTGCAATGTGATCTATTTGTGACCACGGTTGCGTTGGTGAAGGAGGACGCCAGGGGGGCTGCACGTCTTGTGGTACGCCCGAAGTTCATACTTGTGGGAAAGAGATTGTGGTCTTCGCATGTGAGAAGTCTATCACCGTTGTCAGAACGACTCATCAAGCGTGTGACTGCCACCAAGATGACGTTCGCACGGAAGCAGGTGACCTACTCGTGCATTGAAATCTCCGACAAGGAGGATAACATCCGACTTTTCGGCCTTGTTTAAAAGGTTGTGGAGTCCAGGATAAAAGTCACCCTTAACCGATGCACAGCTGCAGTCGGTTGGAGGGTAAGCAGAAACGAAAAACAAATTGCGCCTCTCTTCACGATGTCTGTTGATTCTACATGAGCCTTGAAGCCGAACAGGCTGTCGATTGGAAACCAATCGAGTAATGCAGCCTCCGCTTTGTCACTCAGTGTGATATCGACCCAAGTCGAGCCGGCTGCTGCCACCTCCATGTCACCTGACAGACGTAGGTAATATGTGGTCTCAAGAGCAGCTGCGGATGACAATTTTACTACGGTGCTTGGACGCTGCAGTCGAGTCTCTGAAAGGCAACACACATCGATGGCGAGGGATTCTAGAGTGCGCGTCAGGTCAGCCTGTTGTCCAATCTGTAGGAGGGTTCGAACCTTGAACGCCGCCAGTCAGAATGAATAACCGGGTTCAAAGAATAGATGATGGCCGGGAGATTTGGGTATCAGCGAGACGGGCATTGGAAGTAGATTCAACAGGTTGTGGATTATCAACAAGAGAACAGTTGGCGTGTGATGCAGAAGCATAAATAGCAGCAGAAATGAGCGACGTAGTAGTAATTTTGAAATCCATGGTTTTCATAGAGGGCACAGTACTACCCGGTTGCCCAAGCCGAGTCTTTGGCTCAATACCCTATACGTAAGGCAGCAGAGCGAAGTTAGGGATTCGCACCCATTGGGAACGGAGGAATGATTGCCCAGTTCATACACCTGTCGTTTGGTGATTAGCCAAACAGAGGCCTAATACTCCCCAAGATTTCAGCAGCAAGGTGCTGGGATACAATGCTCCACCGGAGTGTAGCATCAATACGAACAGATTCAAATCAGAGTAGATCAACCCGGACGTGAGGTTTAGAGAAACATACATGGCAATGGAAGAACGGAATTTACTTCGAAGGCGAAAAAGTCGAGCACCCAAATAAAGTGCATGACAGCGAGGGTGACCAAGGCGGGACTAACGCGTCCGAAGCGTTCCCATTGTGAGAGTATATAGGCTGATTCCAACAATACCAAACCGACGCTCGCGGGTCGAAACAAGACCATTTTCCAATCGAGACCGAACCAGCGGGGCCGCACGGAACGACCACTCCAAAAATCAACCAAGAACCCCCCTGTACAAAAGAAGAGAAATCAAGGGCATGATGTAATGGATACTAAATCAATAAAATGTACAAAACGGCAGTACAAAAGTCATAAAAAATAGGATATACCAATGGATCGACTGAACTCACGAACGGAAGAAACCTGCGATAACAATCAGATATATTCAAATAGTTTACTGATGGATTCATTCGCGCGGGCCCATATTTTGTGCCCGGAAAGCTGTGTTACTATTGAAAGCGAAAGCTAAATACTAGCCCTATGACACGCTTAAACTGAAACAGAGGAAAATGTACGGTACTAAAATTTTGGATGCTGTAGCGTCAGAATGACAGAAAACCGAAGATCAGGTAGTAAATCAAAGGACATTTATATCACTTACAACAATAACGCCTGCCACTCGACACTAAACAAATGGAGCTGCGAACACAGTGCTACTAACCATTGTCATAGAATCAAAGCAAGAAATAGTCAAAAGCAGTGGGGAGCAAAGGGTACAGAGAAGTGCTCACCAATTTTGCCCTTTATCGAAGCCGGGGAGCGGGAAGTGCGTCCAGATGTCATGTATGCGAGCACTGACAAAACTATGGCGATGTTCCCCGCGGCCGCCAGTAAGCTCATATAGTATTTGCTAAGTAGAAAAGTAGGTCGTAAAGTCGACAGGAAGGACCATTCGCAAAATTCAGCCATAGAGAATAGTCCGATGAAGAACACCAGGGTGAACAAGTCTGAAGAAGGTAGACGAGAAAGACACTAAGTTAATATACTCGAGACACCAGCCTATAGACATGGTAAATAACATACACTCAACGGACATATTCATGGGTGGAAAAAACTGCGAAGCAACGTGTGTACAACAACAGTCGACTCACCATTAAATCGATGAGGAGCGGAACTTCTGGGAACAGATTGAGAACCAGCACGATAGCCAAACGGTATAAAGCGGGCGATTAGGAAGTGGAGAAGTAGGTAAATGAGGACAAATGCGTGACAGCGATAATCCAAATAGACTAAGGGATTCGTAGGCCAGAGAACACCGGCGAGAGGGCGAGACGGGCTTCGAAGCAGCCTGAAATCGGTGGTCGCTCCAGAGACGGGAGCGATGATTAGGAGATTCAGCCAATAGATAGAAGGTAACAAAATAATTATGCCCAGGAATGCAGCGACAGAAGGTGGGCACAATTTACGTAGTAGGGAAGCGAGCCACTCGCAGAAGGATTCGCGTGGAGCGTGTTGATTCATCTCATCCGAGAAGCTGAAAAGAAGTTATGTACCGAAAGGGAGAATCAGTAAGGAAACCGGATGCCTTGTCGAAAATAGTGGATCAAGTAGACGACAACTGACTGGGATAAAAAATGTAGCAGGCGAAGGTTGAAACACAAGTCGTATTTACCTTTCACTGATAGTTGAGTGCACCTTAGTTGTCTCAATCTTTTGAATGATTCGCTGAGAAAATCGACTAGGGTTTGTTTCACGCAACACAGTGGTGGTTCGAGTGCGCCTGTCACCGGAAGCATCGGGAGCGGGTTTAGAATGTTTAACAAATGCACTGCGACGCCCCTTTACGCTGGGTGAGGAAGACTCGGATTCGGATGAACTCGAAGATTGACGGCGTTGAAGTTTAGATTCGGAAGCCGGAGTTCGGCTGCGCACAGTGGTCGTCGTCTTGGATCGAGAACGAGATCTTGAAGGGGTTCGGTCACGGCCTTTGCTGTTGGATCGACCAACTGACTTGCTGCGCCCTCGAGTGACCGACTAAAATAAACAGATGTGGCCAATAAATATCACTGATGGATTCCATGTATACAAGATGTGAGAAAAGTGACGGATGTCTGAGGACATAGCAAGTGAAACAATACCAGTGGAACCTACTGAACGGATAAATACAGCCGGAAAAATAAACACAATACAGTTCAAAAAGAAGACATTAAGCGCAACACGTATGCATCCAGCTGTATTAGCGCTGTGGAAAAATAGCAAAATAAGTAAAGCAAGAAGCTACAATGGGCCGTGCGGGAGCATCCGAGATAGGCCGGTACGCAGTACCGACGCTTCGCTGCCGCGCGACCACCACCGATCGCACGTGGGCTAAAGATCCTGCGAGAAGCACCCTGTCCTTACGCAGACTCGAACCCGCGCCGTCAGATTACAAGCCAAGCTTATTACCTTTAGTCTACGGGCCTGGGTGGGGAGCATAGTTAACTTTCCGGTCGAAGGAATGGTCTTTGGCGTAACATGGGCGATCACATAGCAATTCAAGACACTACGAGGCAGGATTACTTAGACACACAACATGCTTTGGACAGGTCATCTATTTCCATGTTGGAGCTCAGGGAATCAACATGACCGGTGGGCTTCTGAAGGCTTAAAGATGATACACACCAAACGGTTGGTTTAACAAGACCTTCGGGGTAAGACACATAAGTGGTGCTTTTGCACTTGATCTTTTAGATTCATCTGACGACGAAGTTAACGTTTTGCTGTTCCATTTTGTCGACTAGCTTGTCGGCACTTGCCTTTGCACTGGCTGATCATGTGGCAGCAAAATTTACGGCAATCGTACCAACTTAATATTAGAGTTCAATTTATGGCTGGTTAGCAAGAATGCATCAGAAAATCGTCAACCTCAAGCAACGCTACTGCGGTCACGGAATTTTTACCCGATCGACCTTACTGCTCTTCTGTGGCGCCGGGGATTAAGCGCACAGGCGTAAGGTTAACACGAAAACTGGTATGAATTTATGTAGGCGTGCCGTAAGTAGAACAGAGGAGACTAGAAATTAGAAACGCCAAGTCGACCGAAACGAATATCTTTGGGCATTGAGCTGGAATAAAGTTGAGGAACTTATTGTGCTCCTTGGCTCCCAGCTTTTACAAGAGCAATCCACACGTCTATTCATTGTCAGCATCGGCAAACTAAGGTATATATATATATACATATATATATATATATATATATATATATATATATGGCGGGAGAGCCTATGGCGCGCTGAGGCTGGTGGTGGCTAGATGCTGACAGATGATCTACCTATTGCTGCTACTGTTGCGCCATTTGCTCATGTCCTGGACGCCTCCTCGTGGCGACCGCTGGGTGGGAGTTGGGTTTCACCCTTCTCCTGCTAAGATCCAGGACACCAATCCGCATGAGTCAGTGAACTGACCATGTGCTAGACCCGCTGCCTTTCGGGTGTTCATTTAATCGAAGGCTTTGGCTGAGGACCCAAGTCGTTCTCCTGTCAGGTGTGGGCGCCCTGGCAGTATCCTAGTCCATCCTCTTCGGAGGTTAGGAAGTGGTCGATGGCTCTCTTCCCGTAAAACCGAGCTCACAGCTCGATTGGTGTAGAGCACGAGCGCCACGCATTGTCTCTGACGGTGGGAGGACACCTCCGGGTGTTCAATGGTTTGCTACTGCCCGTCTCAAGCCAGGCAGCCTCTGGTCAAATTGGTGCAAACCCGCCAAAACCCACCTGCGTCTGGCCGTGGTCGCAGGTGCGTATCCTATTACGGTCGCAAAACATATTTAAAACGTTCCAGAACCTCAAAGGCCGCGTGTGACGGCCGTCAAGCAGATCCCAATCTGTCTCTGCAATCACATTCCCGAGCTGAATCTGCTCCCCACTGCCTTGTGGGTCAGGCTATTGAGCCAAAGGATCCGGGCGGAGTCCCTCAAGCAAATCTCCAAACCACCCACTGCCTTGTGGGTCAGGCTATTGAGCCAAAGGCTCCGGGTGGAGTCCCTCAAGCAAACCTCCGAAGCACAACGACAACCTCGCGTGCAAATGCCCACCAATGCAATCGTATGCCTGCGCGCAAAGCACTCAGCATCGGGTGCTGGAACGTGCGCACACTACTGGACCGGAACTCGAGCGAGCGTCCATGGCGACGCACTGCACTGGTCGCGATGGGGCTGGCGCGCTACCACATCGATATTGCGGCGCTCAGTGAAACTCGGCTCGCTGAGCAAGGTAAGTTGCATGAATCAGGTGCTGGCTACACATTCTACTGGGTGGGCAACGCCGCCTCAGCACCACGTGAACATGGGGTCGGATTTGCAATATCCGATCGCCTCCATGGCCAGCTGGTGGGTGAACCAACGGGCATCAGCGCGCGGCTGATGACCGTCTGCCTACGACTCGGAAGAGGTAAGTTTGCTACTTTTATAAGCACGTACGGTCCGACCATGTGTTATCCTGATGACACGCGTGATCAGTTCTACACTGAGCTATCCTCCGTGATACGGTCTGTGCCGGGGAGCGACCGACTATTTCTGCTGGGTGATTTCAACGCGCGCGTTCGGCGTGATGCATCAGCGTGGACAGATGTTATCGGTGCGCATGGCATTGGCTCAGCGAATGCGAACGGTGACAGGCTGCTCTCACAGTGTGCCACTCACGGCCTGACGATCACGAACACTCGGTTTGCACTGAGTGCGAGTGATATAGCAACTTGGACGCACCCACGGAGTGGTCACGCTCACCTGCTCGACTATGTCATCGTACGTCAGCGTGATATGCGTGAAGTGCGCATGACACGTGTACTGCGTGGAGCTGAGTGTGGCACTGATCACAAGTTGGTGCAGATCAAACTGTACATATATTTTCGTAAATCTATGTATTGCACTCCCACTGTGAATCGGCGTAAATTTTACATGCTCTCCCTCGGTACTGTGGCGAAACGTACTGAGCTGGAGAAGGCGATGGCTGCACGCCTGTGTGATGTGGAATGCATAGCCACAGTGGGAGACCTGTGGCACCACATTCACGACCAGGTGACAGCTGCTGCCGAGGAGACCATCGGGCGCGCAAACTGTAAACGGCCTGATTGGTTTGATGAGAACAATGCGACGATCGGCGCATTGGTGTCGGAGAAGAATGCAGCATTTGCTACACATGTCGCAGACCCCAGTGACTTGGGGAAGGATAGTCAGTTTCGCAAACTTCGACAGCGACTGACCCGAGAGCTCCGTCGCATTCAAATTGCATGGTGGACGGAGAAGGCGAAGCAGATGGAATGCTACGCCAAACGCCGCCAACACAAGGAATTCTTGAAGGCGGTGTATGGACCGAGATTGGAGCCGCTGAGGACACTGATCGATGGTAGTTCAGGCGCTACCTGCACACAGACTGCAGACATAATGCAGATCTGGCGGAAACACTGACTGTCTCTTGAACAACCGTTCAGAGATCGACTGGCTTACATTGAACGACCTCAAGCAGCACGATGTGAAGGCGAATCTGGCGGACACGCCGACACTGGATGAGACGCAGAGAGCACTTGCTCAGCTGCGAAACGGCAAATGTGCCGGGGCCGACGGGATCCCGCCTGAAGTATTGAAACACGGCGGACCGGCGTTGTTCACTGCGATGCACCACTTGGTGCAACGCGTATGGATTGAGGAGGAGGTGCCTCCTGAGCTGAAGGATGCCCTTGTGCTACCACTGTACAAGGGCAAAGGTAGCAAGCAATGTTGCACGAATTATCGTGGCATCAACTTGCTGAGTTGTGTGGGCAAGGTGATTGTCCGAATCCTGCTCAACCGCCTCGTCACTCAGGTTGTGGAACCGAACGTGGCGGAAGAGCAATGCGGATTCCGTTCGGGTCGCAGCACTATAGATATGGTGTTTGCGGCTCGTCAGTTGCAGGAGAAGTGCAGAGAACGACACCAGCCATTGTACTCGCTTTTTGTTGATTTCACCAAGGCATTTGATACGCTGAACCGCGAGGCATTGTGGCTGGTGTTGGGTAAGTTTGGTTGCCCGCGTAAGTTTGTAACTTTAATTGAATGTCTGCACAGTGGTATGCGAGCGAGGGTGCAGCTGAGTGGAGAGACCTCGGATGACTTTGCAGTTGTCTCTGGTGTGAAGCAAGGCTGTGTTTAGCTCCTGCCCTGTTTAATATATATCTTCATGCAATGTTGTCTTGTGCTTTTGATGCGGCTTGTGCTTACGGTGTTCGTGTGGAGTACCGTATTGATGGTGGGTTGCTGAACATCCGTCGTTTCGGTGCGAGAACTCTAGTCTGTGAGACAACTATCCGTATGTTGCTGTTTGCTGACGACTGTGCGTTGTTTTCACACAGCGCGGATGAGTTGCAGCACATGACTAGTGCTTTGGCTTCGACAGCGGCCAAATTCGGACTCACCATCAACACAAGCAAAACTGTCTGTCTCTTTCAGCCTTCACCGGAGGTGCAATCTTCAATATTGCCGCGAATCAGCATTGGTGCTGAAGTATTAGAAACCACCTCCCGTTTCAGCTACCTTGGGAGTGTGATGTCGACTGATCAGCAGCTACACAGTGAGCTGCGTATCCGCGTGTCGAAGGCAGCGGCGGCATTCGGGAAGCTTGAGTACCGAGTGTGGAACAACCATCAGCTTACCATTGACACGAAGCTGATGGTGTACACATCCATGGTGCTGTCCGTTCTTCTATACGGCAGTGAAACGTGGACGATGTACCGGCGAGATGTGCGATATCTCGAGCGGTTCCATCAGCAGTGTCTGCGACGGATTTTGCGCATCGGCTGGGGCGACAGAGTTGCAGACACGGAAGTGTTGCGCCGAAGTGGGATGTATGCAGTGGACTGCATACTTTTATTGAGACACCTGAGGTGAATCGGTCATGTGAGCCGTATGGATTCGACGCGGATACCGAAGCAGCTATTATATAGTCAGCTGAGTATTTGGAAGCGGCATGTGGGGAAACCAAAGTTACGTTACCAGGACATGCTCAAAGTGAGCCTCTCATGTTCTA